GTAATTGGAGTTTGGCTGCATTAAGAATTCCTCAAAATACAAGGTAAAAGAGTTCCTTTCAGTCATTCAGAAATTTCTGTTCTTTAGAGGAAAGGAAAGCAAGCATCCTTATTCCTGACCTGCTCCTATTTATTATATATGACTTATGTAAAAACAGCAAAACATTGCAGTGTTTCTTTTTAACCTTTTAGATCAGGAATTCTCAGGGTGGGGGAAACAGCCATGGAGCTTTTTATTTTTTCCCCCCAAACAATTGTGTCAGATGGGGGGAGATGTCCTTTAAACCTTATGGCTTGACTCCCTCTGAGATTCACTTCTGTAGTAAGCCACTTTTATTGATAGGTTTGTGTCATCACTGTGGTGTGATAAAGTAGAAACATTTTGAAATCTTTTAAGAATTCTCGAATGGCATTCCTTGGAAGAATAAGATTTACGTAACTGGCAAAATTTATAAAGTGACTAACCCCCAGACCACATGTGATTAATTCAGGAATGAAAAAAAAAGTATATGTTTTAAGTGGGAATTTAAATGCTATTTTTGTTTTTATTTTTAATTTTTTTATATATATGAGAATGGTTTTTATAACATCTGTAATTGTAAAAAACTAAAAGCAACTCATCCATTGTTAATGAAGTGATTAAAGAAATTATGGCATTAAGTGCTATTTTCGCAGGTCATAGTAAAGGTTGCATATTTTTGTATTATGCTGTCTTTAACAGGTGAAACAGGCAACATATTTTGGAATTTAGAACCAGAAAGGCAGGGAACAGGCATCCAGTGGCTGGTCAACTATTTTAAAATAGCAGCCCCAACTTAAAAATCATACAAAACTAGTATAAATCATATTTAATCGGGGGAAATTAAGTCTTTTCTGCAGTGGTACTAAGTAAGGCATTTCAGTGGAACATGATGTCAGAGCCATTGATCTAATCAACCATAGTCACGTTACAGGTAAAGAGACGCTACAGACTTTATAGGATAGGTGACTTGGTCAAAGCCCTTTGTAAGTTACCTGGGCAGTTGTCTGCAAAGAGGTTGAGTGTCCCTAATCCAAAAATCCAAAATCTGAAATTTTGCTTTTGAGATGGGAGTGTCTTACTCTGTCACCCTAGCTGGAGTGTGGTGGCATGATCTCGGCTAACTGTAGCTTCTACCTCCTGGGCTTAAGTGATGCTCCCACCTCAACCTCCTGAGTAGCAGGGACTACAGATGTGCACCACTTCACCTGGCTAATTATTTGTCGTTTTGGTGGAAAAAGGCTTTTGCCATGTTGTCCAGTCTGGTCTCGAATTCCTGAGCTCAAGCCATCCGCTCACCTTGACCTCCCAGAGTGCTGGAATTACAGGCAGTGAGCCACCACACCTGGCCAAAATCCAAAACTTTTTGAGTGCTGACATGTCACTGTAAGGAAATGCTCATTGGAGATCTCAGATTTTGGATTAAGGATGCTCACCTGGTAAATATTGTATTCCAAAATCTGAAAAAATAAAAAATCTGAAACACTAGTGGCTCTAAGGATTTCAGTTAAGTGATACTCAACCTTAGCTGATTTTGATTATCTTAGCTTCTGGGTAAATGTTAAAATACTGTAGATTTACAGAATGGCATACCTTTGAGTTATTGTACCTTTGTGATACTTTTAAATATCCTGGTATAGTTAGGATGTGTTCCATGTTGTTATGCCCTATTTTATGTTTTTAATACATGATATATATATATATATATTTTTTCTTTTTTTGATGGACAGTAATACAAAGTGTAAATTTCTGTACTTTGGGAATTTGTCTTTATTTGGACCTAATATTGTCCTGAATTTGGAGACTTGTTTACCAAGGAAGTCCTCAATTTTCAGTATTCCATATCATCATTAATTATATGGCTCTATTCTAGTTTTAGTGAACTTTAGAATTCTTTTAATTTGTTTTAGCTGATGATTTCTTTGTTTTACCTAGACATTTAATTAGGATTGGCTGGCTGGGATTTTGCCCCAGGCATTGAAATTTAGAGTGTGAAAAAATTTTAATTAATGAATAAAAACAATTATGTTTGTTTTGGGGTACCGGAGTATTGTGCACATTATGTCTTTCATTCAGCTCTCTAGCCCAAGAGCTGCTGGCCCACTATCAGCTTCCTTGTCAATCCATGGAGATGCTTGGGAATGAAAACAAAGGCAGAGTTAGGGAGCCTGTAGCTCCTGGTCGTGCCAGTGCCTGGTGTCCTCTCCTGGCATCCTCATTTCCAACTCCTTTTGTTTCTCTTTACCGGTAAATTGACTGACTTGAGGATATATATATATATATATTGCAGCTTGGACATTAATTTATCATTAAGCAGGTTTCACTATACAGTTGAAAAATAGGCCAGACACGGTGACTCATGTATAATCCTAACACTTTGGGAGGCCAGCGTGGAAGGACCACTTGAGGCCAGGAGTTCGAGACTAACCTTAGGCAAAACATAGTAAGACCCCTTACCTATTAAAAAAAAAAAAAGCCAGAAGTGCTGGCACATGCTACTGAAGTCTTAGCTACTTGGGAGGTTGATGTGGGAGTGTCGCTTGTGCCTAGGAGCTTGAGGCTGCAGTGAGCTATGATTGTGTCACTGTACTCCAGCCTGGGTGAAAGAGTGACACCCTGTTTCTTTTCAAGAACCACAAGCTCCTAGAAACAAGAGGCTGGGCGCGGTGGCTCAAGCCTGTAATCCCAGCACTTTGGGAGGCCGAGGCGGGTGGATCACGAGGTCAAGAGGTCGAGACCATCCTGGTCAACATGGTGAAACCCCGTCTCTACTAAAAATACAAAAAATTAGTTGGGCATGGTGGTGCGTGCCTGTAATCCCAGCTACTCAGGAGGCTGAGGCAGGAGAATTGCCTGAACCCAGGAGGCGGAGGTTGCGGTGAGCCGAGATTGCGCCATTGCACTCCAGCCTGGGTAACATGAGTGAAACTCCGTCTCAAAAAAAAAAGTGTTTTTTTTGTTTGTTTGTTTGTTTTTTTGACAGTAATTCCACTTTAATCTTTGCTAAGGATTTAATTTTTAAAAATGCAAGAAAAGCTATATCCATTGAAACAAGAATAGTAGGCAAATTTGAATTGTTGCAGAGTGGTTCATAGGGTTGATACACTCATTGTTTAACAATTCTTTCATTGTTTGGATTTAAATTGCTTTATGAATAAAGCTTGTGGCATCTTAGCTTATGTTTATGATAAAGCAAGGCTCAATTTTCGAATCATAATTCCTGCAACTTTTAAAAAATTAATATATAAAAATATTGACCTTTATTTTCATGTATACTTTCAGCACACATATAGATTTATGTAACTACTGTCATACTTGATATAGAACAGTTGCTTGACCCCAGTAAACTCCCTTTATTATCCCTTTATAGGCCTCTTATCGCTAGTTCCTGACAACCACTGATCTGCTATTTAACACTATAGTTTTGGGTTTTTTTTTTTTTTTTTTTTTTTTTTTTTCAAGAATGTCATATCATGGAATCATAGTTCGTAATCTTTTGAGTCTGGTTTCTTTCATTCAGCATAATTATTTTGAGATTGATCCAAACTATTGTATTAATAATTTCTTCCCTTTTATGACCGATAATGTATTGTGTGGATGTATCACAGTTTGCTTATTCATTTACCTATGTACTTATTGAAGGACATTTTTGCATATGAATTTTTGTGATTGTGAGTCGAGCTGCTATGAATATTTGTGTATGATTTTTGTGTGAATGTAAGTTTTTATTTCTCTAGTAAATAAATAGAAGTAGGGTTGCTGAGTCACGTGATGTTATTTAACTTCCTAAGAACTGCCAAACTGTTTTCTGGTGAGGCTGTACCATTTTATGTATGGTAGTTCTAGTTGTTGCAAATCTTTGTCAGCACTTGCTACTGTCAGCATATTTTATTTTAGCCATTCTAATGGGTATGTAGTGGTATCTCATGGTTTTAGTTTGCTTTTCCCCAATGACTTATGTTGTTGAACATCTATTCATATACAAAATTGCCTTCCGTATATCCTTTTTGGTGAAGTGTCTGTTCAACTCTTTTACCCATTTTTAAATTATTTGCTTTCATTGCCGAGTTCTAAGAGGATTTTTTTTTCTTTTTAATATGTTCTGGATACAAGTCATTCTCTTAGTCTATAGCTAGTCTGTAGCTTTCTCTTTTTTATTGTTTCAATGGTGTCTGTAGAACGAAAGTTTTTAATTTCAGTAGAGTCCAGTTTAGCATTTTTTTCTTTTATAAATTATGCTTTTGGTATCATTTGCTTAAAATTCTCAGATGACATTTTCTTCTTATGTTTTATTGTAATATAACCTTTTTCTTTGGATTACTGTGGTGCTTTGGAAATGATATGATACTGTTAGGTCTTTTTCCTAAACCAAAGGTTAATATTGAATGTTAATCAGTGGCATTAAAAAAAGCAAGAACCTTCTCACTCATAAGTTGGAGGGAATTGAACATTGAGAACACATAGACGCTGAGAGGAGAACTTGTTGGGAGGGAACTTAGAGGATGGGTCAATAGGTGAAGCAAACCACCAGGGCACACATATACCTGTGTTACAAACCTGCACATTCTGCATATGTATCCTGTGTTTTTTTGTTTTGTTTTGTTTTTTAGAGGAAAAAAGGACTCAGAATTGCATTAATACTATTATTATAACAACATAAAAACATATTCATGTTGAAGAAGTTCTGCAAGGAGAAGAAACAGAAATGAGTAGTGTGGAAGCCAGTAGTTCCATAGTCCTGGATGTTGTATCAGAATCACCTGGGTAGATATTTTAAAATTAGGGTTATCTTTTGATCTTGGGAAGCCCACAAATATTTATTCTGCTTTTTCCTTCTTTCTTCCCCTCCCCTTCCCTTCCCTCTCCCCCTCCCCCTCCCCTTCTCTCCTCCTCCCCCTTCCCCTTCCCTCCGCCCTTCCCTTCCCCTCCTCCTTCCCTCTCCCCCTTCCCTCTCCCCCTACCCCCTCTCCTTCCCTCCTCCCTCCCTTCACATTTAAGTTAACCTCCATGTTTCTTCATGGCTTAATAGCTCATTTCTTCTTAGTGCTGAGTAACATTTCATTATCTAAATATAGCACAATTTATTAATCCATTCATCTACAGAGCAACATCTTGGTTTCTTCCAAATTTTGGCAATTATGAATAAAGTTGCTTTAAACACTTGTGTGTGGGTTTTTGTGTGGACATAGGTTTTCAGCTTATTTAAGAAAATAGGAATGCGATTGCTGGATTACATGGTAAGAGTGTGTCTAGTTTTGTAAGAAACTGCCAAACTGCCTTTAAGAGTGACTGTACCATTTTGCATTTCCACTGGCAGTGCATGAGATATTCTTTTGCTCTACGTTCTTGCTAGCACTTGGTGTTGTCGGTGTTTTGGCCATTGTCAAAGATATGGAATGGTATCAGATTGGTGTTTTTTTGGCTTTTTCTATTTTTTTTTTGTTTTTGAGACGGAGTTTCGCTCTTGTTGCCCAGGCTGGAGTGCAATGGCGCGATCTCGGCTCACCGCAATCTCCGCCTCCTGGGTTCAGGCAATTCTCCTGCCTCAGCCTCCTGAGTAGCTGGGATTACAGGCACGCGCCACCATGCCCAGCTAATTTTTTGTAGTTTTTTTAGTAGAGACGGGGTTTCACCGTGTTGACCAAGATGGTCTCGATCTCTTGACCTCGTGATCCACCCGCCTCGGCCTCCCAAAGTGCTGGGATTACAGGCTTCAGCCACCGCGCCCGGCCTCAGATTGGTGTTTTAATTTGCTGTGTCCTAAGGACCTAGGATCTTCTCAGATGCTTACTTGCCATCTTTATATCTTCTTTGGTTAGGTGTCTGTTCAGATGTTTTGCTTTTTTAAAAATTTATTTTCTAGTTTTAAGAATTCTTTATGTATTTTGGGTAATAGTTCATTAGATTTGTCTTTTGCAAATACTTTCTCCCGGTCTGTGACTTGTTTACTCTTTTTCTTGACTAAAGTCTTAATTTATTTTTAGAGATAGGATCTCACTGTGTTGCCCAGGCTTGCCTCAAACTCCTGGGTTCAAATGATCCTACCACCTTAGCCTCATGAGTAGCTGAGAATAGAGACGCACTACTGCATCACATTTAAGATCTGTTTGTAAAAGCTCTTTGGGTGATTCTAATTCACTGCCTGATGAGTGTTCCACTGTTTTGAGCTACTTTCTCTTTCTTCCTTTGCAAAGCTAGGCCATGCACAGCCATCAGTTGTCCATTACTCATAATTCGTTTCAACTTTTTTGTCACAGTTGGTCCCATCCTACTCTCAATTTCTCTGGTGTTGCTACTTGTTCTTCCATGTCTCTCCCTACAAATTCCAACACTTCATCTTTGTAATCTAAATATAGACTTTCTTTAATAATCTGTTCATACTTAATCTGTAGGCCCTTTTGGTTCTGTTAACAGCTGTACAGCAGGGTTCCCTCCCATTTGCCTTGCTGGTTCAGAAAGTAGGTGACTGTGTTAGGCCGTGAGATTAACAGTATTATTCTCCCACCATGTTGCCCATGCTGTCTTTGTTTTTCAATTTTTTGATAAGATATTAATAATTTGTAAAATAAAGGTCCTTTTTTTACTTAGTGTCTAGTTTATGTGCCAACTTAACCATCTTTTTAAAAGCCTATTTTAATCTTAATAAAGGTTGAATTTTCATCTCATTCCTACCATTTTATTGTGTATGTTTGAATAAATATCTTTTCACTTATGTATTAAAGTAGAAAAGTAATTTTCTACAGAAATGTTAGAGGAATAATTTTTTGTTCATAGAGTAATCTGAATAATTAAGAAGACATTGCAGCAGTGTATCTAAGGCATTCATTTTACTTCTTTCAGTCATGAGTTTGTGTGGATGAATAATTGAAAAATAAACATAAAATTAGCTCTTAGTTGTAGCTATTTTCTGCCATTAAAATGTGCTGTTATTGGTTGGTCAGGATAATTTTTTGAGGTGTGATACAAGTAAGGCAATTATTTATGACACATGGTACTAGTAGATCAGATTTTATTTTGCTGAAAGGCAGGTATAAATATGAGGTAGAAATATGTAAATATTTGATGTGTTTTATTATAAAATATACAAATCAGTGATTTTAAAGAACATGCCTTATTTTATAACATTAACTTTTTATTTAATTGGTCAGTTTTTCATTCAGCAAATATGCAGGCACATTTATGTGTTCCAATTTTAATGTAGTTAATATTTAACTAATTTTATAATGTAGAGGTATGTAGAAGTTCACATAAGTTCTTAAGAGTAATTAATAGACTTGACATTCCAATGTTTGAAATGCGTAATTTTTTTGTATGTAGTACAGATTGCTCATGCGTTGTCATGATTTTAATGTAATTGCTACTTTTCAGTGAAGGAATATGAAGCTTGGTTTAAATTTTTGAAAATAACCATGTTTTCAACTTGCTGGGTTTTTTTGTGGGGGGATTTGCATCTGACCAGTGCTAGATTTAATGAGTTGAAGCAAATGATGATACACTGTTCATTTTGTATAAAAGTATTTCTATTAACTAACTTTTGATATAGTTAACATTTTTGGAGTAGCATTTTGGACTAATTCTGAATGATGTAACTTGAAGTCATGGAGCTTAGTCATGTAAACAAAAGATTAAATATATGATAAAATTCTAAATTATGTGGTATATGCCTAGTGATTTTTATACTATACTGTTACTAGACTAGATGTATTGTCTCATCATTAAATCTAAAAACCTTATTTTCCCCAATATGTAGAAAGAGATGCTGTTTTCTCAGTTTGACCTTACTCTTCCGCAGTGTGTAGTGTGTGTTTTCTTTGGCACTTTTAGCCGCTTGTTCATATTAGATCTGATACAGAATGGTGTTTTATTTATGTATATTTATAATTGCTTTAGAAGTGTCTATATAGTTCAACATATGTTAAATAGTTCATGTTTGTCAGAAAGTACCATGACTTCAGCTTTTTTCTAATCTGCAAAAGTTTAACTACTACTAGAAATTCTCTATGGTAAAGGATATTTGGAGATAAAAGAGTTTTGTTTAGGCTAGAGTTATTGAGAGTTGAGCTGGATTATGGAAGGTTGATTGTATTTGAATAACTGTAGAAGTTGGCAATATAGTCTCAAAGTGTTATAGGAACTTAAAGACAAACACACGGCGACTTTGTGATAAAGCCAGAACCAGAGTCTAGATTCTCTTTCCGAGTGAAATGGTCTTTCCTTTGGGCAGATAGCATAGCAGGAAGGAGTAGTGGTCAATAACATTTTATCAGAGAGGATGGTGCTAAGCTTGTGGACTGTCAAAAGGAATTCTTGAAGTCTTGAGTAGTCTTTTATCAGGGTTGGATTAGAAAGACATTTCAGGCTCAAAGGAACTTTGTGTGCAAAAGCAGGTAATCCTGAAAGTGCTTATGTTGGAAGTGAATCATGGTATTGGAGGGCAGGGATTTGAAATAAGTGGTATTATATATACCAAGCACTGTTGTAGGTGTGGGATATACACATGGAAAAAACAGAAATCCTGCCACCATGGAGATATTTACATTTTAGTAGAAGAAACAATTAAAAAAAAAAAAAAGTAATATAGTAGGTAATGATGAATACTATGAAGAAAAAGGAATTGAATGGTTAAGAAGTAGAGCTAGGGGTTCTGTGAAATAATTGGTTGGAAAAGACCTCTGTATAGTGAGTGGGAGTGAGTCAAGTGAATTGAGGCAGAAGGAATGGCAGAGCACCGTTGCTGTATTTAGTAAAGAGGCCATTGTAGGTGAAGTGTAATGAGTGAGTAGTTTATTGTAGAGTGTTTACTGAGTACTAAGCACTGTTTTGAGTGTGTTACTAGTGTTAATTCTTACAACAGTCCTACAGGAGGAATGCTATTTCAAATATAAGGAAACTGAGGCACAGAGATTAAATAATTTATTCCACGTCACCCAGTTTGTTAGGGAGCTGGGATTGGAGCCCAGGTAATTGACTCCAAAATCAATATTCCCAACCATAATTCAAAGTTGGGGAAGGGAAGGTATAGTAGGAAATTTAGCAGTAGCATGGAGCCAGTCTTACAGGCCCTGGTAACTTATTATAAGAATATAGGATTTTACTGTGACAATGATGTTAAGTCATTGGAGGGTTGAGAAATACCTAGGAAGTTGATTTATGCTTCTGGAGATATAAGCATATCTCCAGTAACACATTTGATAGTCATCTGTCTATAGGTTATAGCTTAAAATATTTCTACTAGCCTGTAACATTTCTTTGATTTAAAATTAAGGATTTCACTTCATCATTTTATTAAGCAGATATGTGCATGCCTGTATATATATATATACACATATATGAGTGTGTGGATGTGTGTGTGCAAACTAATGAACTCTTCTGTTACTAGGTGCGAGAAGATGTACTAAATTCATTGAATAACAACTTTCTTCAAACGCTAAATCAAGCTTGGAATGATCATCAAACAGCTATGGTGATGATTAGAGACATATTAATGTACATGGTAAGTAGAGCTTTTTAAACGTTTTTTTCCTTTAAGAAGTTAAGCATTTGAAGCCTGAGCTCAGTGGCTCGTGCCTATAATCCCAGCACTTTGGGAGGCCAAGGTGGGCAGATCAGTTAAGGTCAGGAGATTGAGACCAGCCTGGCCAGCATGGCAAAACCCTGTCTCTACTAAAAATACAAAAATTAGCCTGGTGCGGTGGTAGGCAGGCAACTGTAATTCCAGCTACTCAGGAGACTGAGGCAGGAGAATCACTTGAACCTGGGAGGTGGAGGTTGCGATGAGTTGAGATTATGCCACTGCACTCCCACCTAGGCAACAGAGTGAGACTTTGTCTGAAAAAAAAAAAAAAAAAAAAAGTAGTTAGCATTTCAAAACACAATCACTTTCTGTCTGACTTAGTACATCTCAGTGTGGAAGGTGGTTTTTGTTTTTAAATGAACAGTGCTTTCTTTATAAGGGCCTACCTAAGCCTATGTGAATAAAATCTTAATTGTTTACATAGTTAATGAAAGCTTAGAATGGGAAACTGAAAGGGAATGATTTAATTTTTTTCTTCATATTTAGCACTTATCCTTTAAAATGGAAAATATGGGAAAAACCGTACTACTTAACATGTCTTCTTAAGTAAGAGTCGTTAAATGACAACATGAGAAACAAAAGCTGAATATTCTCTTACAGGTTTTTAAATCTTAAATTATTCTTCAGTGACAGAGGATGTCATATTAATACAAGCATTTTCCTGAGAATCATACTCTTATAGCTGCCATCTATCTCTCTTAATAGTGAATCCTTGCAGTGCACTGTTTCAGCTAGTCTTGTTTAAGGATATTAGCCTCTTCACATGTGTATTCCATTTTTCACCTGCTATTGCTGTATTTGTTTTTATCAGTCAAGAAAAAAAATCCTGTTCAGCAAAGACCACTTGGAAACATTGACTTTGATCTAAGCTGTTTAATAACTTTCAGAGAGATTAAATTCTGAGTTAAAAAAAATTTAGTATTGCAGAATGATGTGAGATTCATTAAGCTTAATTATTGTATCACTCCAAAATTAACAAGTTAATGACTTGTCTTGTTTCAGTGTTTGTTTGTGTATTGAATATAATTATTTTTTCCCAAGGTTTTTTATGCTTTTATATATTTTATATATTTTTCCCCAAGGTACCTTTTTATATTTTTATTTCTAGCTTTTTGTTTTTTTTTTTTTTTTTTTTTTTTTTTAGTTTTAATGTGGTGATGAGAGCTTGTCCTAGTTTCTTTTACTTGATAGAATAAAGCAGTGTTTGGAAAGAATTCCCAATGAGAAGAAACAGCTGTAAAGTTTTTTGTTCTCCTCTGTGAATTCAGTCAGGCCTTTACCCCTGGTTTTGTAAGGGCTTAGTGGCATGCAGGTCAGGGAGAGGCCACTTCACTCTTCAGGGATTTGATAAAATATATAACAAATTATTTAGCTTTTCTGAGCACCATTTTTCTTATCTGGTTATAAATTAACCCTGTGTTATTTTGAAGTTAAATGAGATTATATGTGACAACATACAATATCTGGCATATAAATTTGAAATAAGCTTGTTGCTGTTTTCTAGGTTCTAGATACAGTGTCTTTAAATTGCATCCTAACATTAAGGTTAAAAAAACCACTTGTAATTTTATGGTTTATTCTGTTGACAGAAGTAGTATTTTAAAATTTTATACACATGCATACTCTGATGTTATTTTTTAAGTATGTTTTGTTCAGCCGTCCTCCTCTCTTTTTTTTTTTCTTTCTTTATTTTTATTTTTCCCAATGAAATCCCAAACCTTGAATTTTGGCTCTGCCCATGGTCAAGAAGTTAATTAATTCATGCCTCACGTTCCTCATCTATAAAATGCAAATAATATATCTATATCTATAAAATACAAATAATATTGAGTAGAGATGTAAAGCACTTGTAGGGCTTGGCCCATAGTAACATGCTCATTAGAGATTAACTGGTATTATTTCTTGTCTCTTCATTTTTCATCAAACCGATTTGGTAGTACCACAATGCTGCATGAACTGAAAATTCACTCAGGGTAGATTGGCTCCACTGTTTGTGCCGTCACAGACCTGTAGTCAACCCTTCACGCTTCAGCAGTTCCACCTTTTTCTTTAGTCAGCTTGCCACAGCAGTTATTTCTCTTCAGACCTCCACTCTTCCTTGGGTTCCCTCTCTCGTAGTAAATGATCTTGCCTTCTGCTTCTCGGAGAAGAGAGAAGGCATCAGGTAGGAAGTCTGCTCATTTTTTTGCCACTAAATCTAGAAGTTTAGCTGTATTTTCTCCCCTCTTATATTTTACTTTTTCCCTCCTCTTTTAGTGGAGGGTGGTGTCTCCTCTTCAGTTAGAGGCCACTTCTCAACCTGTGCTATGGGTCACATCCTCTTCTACCTTGTCATGAACCTTAAGTATTTTGGGGCTCTGCCTTTCATGTTGGATGTTAACCAGCATTAAACACATTTACTCCACTCACATCCTCAAAATATAATTATATTAAATTATCTGATGAACCCCGGCACTGTCTCCCAGGATCTCCCATCTGTCATTCACAGGTAAATGTATCGTAAGAAATGTTGACATTTGCCATCCGTTTTCTTATCTTTCAAACATTTTGAATACGGTACAGTTAAGCTTCTATCTCAACTATTATGTTCAGTTTTGCCCTTACTAGTATCACCGTGGTATCTGTGCATCTCAGAATACAAAGAGACTAATCCCCATTCTCCTTGATTACTTTTTTTAAGCAGCATTTGACACAGTCTTTCCTTTCTTCTTGTAACATGTTTCCTTGATTTTTGTGACAAAGAACTCTTTTTGTATGCCCTTCTACCTACCTTCTTACTGTTTCTTCTCAGCCTCTTCTCCACCATGGCCCACGACGACTACCAACTGCCCCCAAGAACCCCCCTTAAATAGAGGCATTCTTGGGATTTAGTCCTAGACGTTCTTTGCATGGTACAGCCTTCATCGTATGTAGCTTCATGTGCCTTTGTGCAGGTGATTCTCAAATTATGTCTCTAGCCTTATTTTCTGAGATTCAGACTTATATATTTATTTGTTTAGTTAATGGCTCCTTTCATTGTCTGAAGTACTTCAAAGTTGGCATGTCCAAATGAGTCATAATCACTATCATTCAGTTGTTAGTACTAGAAACCTGAGAATTATTCTGATAAGTTTCTTCTTTCTCCCTGCGTCATATGTTGCTAGACTCTGCAGTTTCTGTTTTATTTTCTATTACTCAACATCAGACCACCTTCATTTCTCTCTTGAAATATTCACTTTTGCTAGTCTTAACAGTGTTCACTGGGCTCTTCTTTGTTTTCCATATTGCTCCCAGTTATTATTTTGAAACCAAATCTGATCATGTTACTGCCCTGCTGAAATCCTTACTTCTCATCTTGGAATTCTTTTACATGGGTTCTGTCTGGAAATGTTTCTTGAATTTTTTTTTCCTTAATGTTACTTGCTCCTGCTTATCCTTTATATAATCTTATTTCTGGTAAGCTTTCCCTGACCCCCGTACTCCCCACTGGCTGCAGTTGCCCTCATTGTACCTAATACTGTTCCTTTGGAACATTTATCACAGTCATTAACCACTTGTTCAGTATGTAGTTTGCCCACTAGACTATATGAGGGCAATGTCTGTGTCACCATTATGTCTTTAATACCTATTACAGCTCGTTGTACAAACTAGGCATTTCCATATATCTTTAATGAATTGGTACAGATGTTATATGGTATGTTGTTTTTAATAGACTACGCTTTTTAAAAATGCTTGTTAAAAATATGTTATTTTAGGCCAGGAACAGTGACTCACACCTGTAATCCCAGCACTTTAAGAGGACTAGGTGGCTAGATCACTTTAGGCCAGGAGTTCAAGACCCGCCTGGCCAACATGGTGAAACCCCATATCTACTAAAAATACAAAATATTTGCCAGATGTGGTGGTGCATACCTATGATCCCAGATACTCAGGAGGATGAGGCACAAGAATCACTTGAAACTGGGAGGCAGAGGTTGTAGTAAGCCAAG